ATTGAGCCAATATTTCAGCAGCGTTGCTTGGTGTTCTAGGTTGCCAGGTAGTAGGCCCTGGTAAAGGTGGTGTTGGCGTACGAGGCTTCACTTCAAGCTTTGATAGCACCACCTCTGGGTTGTCTGGAACCAAGCCTGTTGCTTGGAAGCTTGATTGGATATTATTAGATGAAAACGCCTTATTAAACACCTGATTAAAGGCAGCTAAGAATGCTTTCTTGTCAATGTGAGTGACGTGGCTGTTTGCTAAGACATTGATTTCTGTCTTATATGCTCGTTTCAATGGGGCAAAACAGCCCACATCAAGTGGCTGTAGGATATGGGAGGTGTGAGGAGGCATACAGAGAGTAATAATTTTGTTCTCCTCACACAGATCCTGGAAGGCAAGCGACTTGTGGCTCTCATGGCCATCAATAATCAGCAGCCGGTGGCTACCCACTGTCCGGGCTGTTGTATGCTGGATGAAGTGCTTCAGCCACTCTAGGCCCAGTTCATTTGTTGTCCAGCCATTCTTGCTGACACCAATACGCCAATCCTTTAGGTTGTGATACCAGGCTTGGTCGTGGTTCTTCGCTTTGAAGATGATAAAGGGCGGGATAACCCACCCTATGGCATTGATTGCGGCAATCAACGTCGCCCATTCACGGTCGCCAGGCTGGACTCCAAGTGGCTTAAGACGCCTCTCAGACGCTGTCACCACCTTGACAGACCCTCCAACACCCATCTGGAAGCCAGTCTCGTCAAAGTTGTAGGTATCTTGGTCCTGGATGCCATATTTAGCTTTGACGTTGCGCACAAGGTTGAACCAGGGGCTGATGATAGCTGGATCACTGCACAAGACTCTCTGGTGATCGCGCTGTCTGGTTACCTGAGACTTGATCTCAGGCTTCCGGTTTACAAGGTGCCTGGCCCATTTTTCTCCAACCTTACTACCACCATGGGCAGCTAGCAGTTGATTGGCCATTTCACGTACGTAGCTTAGCGTAGGGGCAAAGCCTCGCGCGTCAAGCTTCCTTATGTATTGTATAACCACCTCCTCTTCAGGCTTAGTAAGCCTTGATCTGCCGTGGTGGGAATCGCGTCGTGAGGTGGTTTTGGCGCGTCGGTCTTGGAGGGTTGATCGAGGAACGTCATAGATAGCAGCAGCGCGCCGTTGGCTTATTGACGCGTTGGATTTCATAGCTTGGATAGCAAGGATTATCCTATCCTCACGAGGAAGTAATCTAAGATCAGGTTGTTGAGACATTAGATGAGAGGTGGAATGAGGTGTGATCTTGGCAAAGGTGGCCGGCTCAATTGCCTGGCCGACTCAATGGCCGATTACGTTATCACAAACGTATATATGCTCGAAGCTCGGGTGATGCAGGACGCCTGATCGTTCATCGTTTTCAGGGTGGAAAGAAGAAGTGAGCAGGTCTGTTGTGTTTGCAGTCAGCCTCTATTCAGTAAGCAGATGTTTAGAAGTTGGGGGAAGACAAGGCTCAGTGTGTGAGTGGTTCTTAAACATCTGGAACACTGCTGTCGAACGAAGACGCATGGATGGCTGCATGCTCGAGCGGAATGGTCACTGACTCCCAGCACCGGCGAACGAAGACTCATGAATGGCTGCATGCTCATTTGGATGGGAGGAAAGGGACGGATTCATGTTTATTGATGGTCTTACGACCATGCAGGTCGGTTCGTCATCGCGGGCGAAGAGAACTGAGAGGTCGACTTACTGAAGACAGCGATGCGGTACTAATATCCGGATGACATCTGTGCGGACGAGGCTCGAGATCAGTAGCTGTTCCAAGACGTAGATACTAAAAAGCAAGCCAGATGTAGCCAAGCTCAGAATTCTTTCGGATACAACACTGTAACCACGTGGGTGAAGTCACATGATATCTTGTTGTAGCAGGTACCGCCCAGTGGGCAAGTGCACTTACCTCAGAGCTGAGAGCTCCGTACACAATGATCACAACACGACAACAGATAGCAATACAATTGTTGATCCCAGCCTCCACCCGACACTGCACCAGGCAGTCACAAACACGGTCCCCTTAGACGGTTCGGAAGGGTGGATGCCCTAACGTTCCAGGATGGGTGACTTAGTTAAATTTATCATGCATTTTGATAATTGCGAGATGTTGGATGAAAGGGGAGGGGCGGATGTACTGCTGTGTTGCAAAGCGAGCGAAGTCGGGGAGCTTGATACGACGACGACTTGACAAGACCTGCGTATGGGGCTGTCAGCATGATTTTCGAAGGCGATGGCGAAATTTAGGATGAAGTATTTCAGCGAGGAATCTTGTGACAGACCGGTCTGGACGACATGCAGTGTTTTAGTTAATTCCAGCGAGTGATATCGTTCATCAAGCTGCGGAGGGGAAGGTGATGTTTACTTACCGCGAGAGTTTTGCCCATATCGAAGAGATTCCAAGCTGCGTAAGTGTGAGATCTGAGCCCACGAGCTGCAAGAGGAATCGGTCGAGGGAAATGCAGTCCCTCATAGTTCTTTCAGTTTCAATTTAGTCTCCCGACGCTGGTGGTCGTCCCACCGTCTGATCGTCCAACGTGGATGAATCCAGACAATTGTTTAAGCTGCGATGAACTATTTCTTTTATGATCATCGCGACTGGCTGGATGGCTCAGGTGGGGATGCTTACCGGGCGGTCGTCTTGGATGTGGATGAAGCCCGTGAAGTGGCGGGAGTCGCACTGGAGCGTGTAGCGAGGAGACGTGAATATTTGAGCAGCGAATACTACTGGATTTCCAACTACTGTGGATAAAACTGAAGAGCTCCTGCTTCGGTGACTGCAGACTCTGGCGATGTGGCGACCGTATCCGAGCTACGACTACCATGCGCATAGGAGACGACAGCTGAAGCTGAGTGGGTAATCAGTCTTTGAATATTTTTAATGATATATCAGAGATTGAAAGCTCACCTTGAGAGCAGCATTGATTCTGAATACTGGCGGGGGACCTTGGAGGCGCAAACTGTGCGTTTGGGTGTGAATAGGAAGTGGTGTTCTCCGCAGTAGTGGCTGAGCGCCTGGATGGCATACAGCTGGAGAGAAATTCGCAAAAGTTCCTGAGATACATGTTGTTGGCGTTGTCGTGTTTTGAGCGCAGCTACAAGTGTTGTGTTGCAACAAACAAGGCAGCTTGAGCACGAGCCAGCTAGTCCAAGTGACAGTGACGGCGACGGCGCGTCTAAGTAGCTAAGCGCCCGAACCGACTCCAGTGTAGGAAAATTACGCAATAGATGCGACAGGTTGATATTTGCTCTGCGCGAGTTATATGCCCGATGACGCTGCATTATCAATACAAAGAGAGCCTTAAGCATATCACAGATATGCATGGTGGCACAGTCATAGAGTACAATCCTATGGTAATTTGCATCATATAAACGAGTACCGCTCATCTATTGTTTGTATTCTCAGTATCGGAAGCTGAGAGAAGTAGACCAACATATGTGTTATTGTTTACCTATCTGCAGCCATGTCACCCATCGATGTGCCGCGCTAAGTGGCAAGAGATCTCGACACTTCTGCAAAAGCGCTTTTGCGCCTTCATCGAGGAGGCAAACTTGAGCCTGCCCACAGGATATGTTCGGGAAACACAACGACGACTGTATCACTCTTATATTCTGGAAGCTGATGGCAGAGAAGGGAGGCTGCGAGGAATGGCACGCGAAAGAATCATCTCTGTCTCTGCACTTTCAACACCGATCAAGACAAGGATTTATCATCTTCTGCTGCAATTGAAGAAGATGTTGCGGTGTAAGTCGGTCCTGTAGGCCTTGATCGTTACCTTTGTTGACTACCTTGGACTAGCACGTCTCAGGACATGTATATATGGTCGCCTTCTAGCTCGCAAACAAATCAGTGCAGTTTCTGTCGACTATACAGCGGCTACGTCTGCCGCAACAGAACAAGATTGCTGCACTTCAAATCGATCTGCACTTTCACGGTGCTAGCTACCTAGATTTCGTGCCATGACACATCCAGTACGAGACCTGGCTTGCTTGCTTCAAAACTACTCGGAGTGATTCTTTCATCTAACATGTGACTGTGCCTATGCGTGTGTGTAAGGCCCAATTTTCATGAAGCCGTTAACGTTGCTAATCGATTGAAGAGCGACCGAGTGCAGTGCATCCCCAGCATCTTTTGCGCGGAGCTTGCAGATCAAGTGCTGGGAGAGCTTCTATATAGCGCATACAGGATTGTGAAAGTGATCATACACAACGTTGTCGAGGATGACGAGGTTGTCGTCCGACAATGAGGAGACATTGGAGCCCACGCGTTGGACACGTCACAAAACCGTAGTTCGGGTAGCACTACATAGCAATCATGACTTCGATATGATTCATAATCTACACTTGCACGCTCTCGAATTCGCATGTACATGGTCAAGCAGATATGCTTCAGATTCTCCACCAGCCGAACTCCCGCTCCCAGAATTCCGTTCACCAACGCCACTGACGCAATTTTCCAACGCACAAGAAGAATATGAGCCAGTTTTCAAATACGCACGGATAAGGGAGTCGGTACATCATCGGGAGTGGCCTCTACAGTCATCACGGCTTAGTCAGCCACTTCGCGCCAGCTATATAAACTGCTTTCGCCCTGCCCTCCCTTTGACCATTACCCCCTTCCTTGTAAACCCGGATTTGGCAACCCGGTCTGTTGCTTCGACATGCGTGTTAAATCATGGAAGTGGTTACACGCTACCGGCATCTTTTATTTTTGGTCAACAGGGCTATTGGGTCACTGAGCTTGCTCATACCCGGTGGTACATTGACGCTAATATCGCACTCTCCAGCTGTCGCAACCTTTTTATTGAGCTGCTTGACTTGTCAAGAACTTGAGGAAGAAGCCTCCACCACCTTGGACGCGCAGTGTGGCACTTCACTGACATGGCTCGAAATTCGAAGCCAGAATTTGTTAATCCCTTTTGCAGAGCTTTCATTGCCCGAAAGCAATTGATCAAGGTAACAGGCGCAATATCTCAAATTTGCGTTGCATATGATTAGTAATCGTAACGGCGTAGGCCGGTACGCGGCTACGCCCGTGGTGATGTTTTGGCTCGCGTCAACTGCAGCTCTCTATCAACAACACCCATCTGCCTCCATACGTATAAACTCAATCAAAGCCACTGATGATATCCTTGAGATGCGAAGTAGACCCATCACATCAAAATGAACACCTCCGCCTCCCTGGCCAACCGCTTCGCTGCCCTCGGCGACCACGAGTTGCCCTACGACCTTCTCTTCGAGACCCTCCTTGTAAGCCAACAAATTCGGTATTCAAACACTCATCTAACTCTGTTAGCCCGACCGCGCCAACTTCCCGCTGCTAGGCGTGGCCCACCCGGGCGAGGAGGCACTTCGGCCCTGCCTCCTCGCTATCGCCCTCCTCGAGGAAGAGATCATCTGGAAAGCACTGTACAACCACATAGTCTTGCGAACCATTTTTACGAGAGAAGTGACTGACAGATACGGCCGCAACCGCCAGAAAGCCGCCACCAGCTGCGCGCCCGCGTTCAGGCGTGGCTGCAGGGGATTGGCCATTAAACCCATGGCTCATCACAACGTTTGTATGAATGTTTTGTAACAATGCAAAACGATCATGGCTCCAATTTTGACCTCTCATGCATGTGATACTTCCTGAATCTCAGTTTGCTGTGACCCAAAGTGAGCGCAAGGCCAGGTGAGGCACCGCGTGGGTGCCTCATATTTACTATCTGCGCGTGCTGTAGCTTCCTCGCCAGAACACTCATCAACAACTCGTACGTACCAAACACTTATAGCTAGCAGATCACGCGCTCATAGCTACAGCATCTCACAAAAACACCTCAAACACCTCCACAATGGCGCACAGAAGTGTTATCACGATCGAGCACGATCTCGAAGCCACTCGCAACAAGGTTAGAATCTCGCAATCTGAGCTGAAGAGCAGCCTGACAATGTTTAAGTGCAACGTCGTCAGCCGTGAGATGCGCGAGGAGGTCAAGAAGGGCATCGACCGCATCAACGATTCCCCGCCCCTCCTCTACATCGAGTACGTGTTGCGCTTGACCGCGCCCCAGGAGCTCATGGGCGAGTAAAAGAAGGCTAAAGCGTATGTGATAATTCCACGCAGTCTCCGAATTGAGCCAGACACCGTTCGACAGTATGTGCTAACAACTCGTAGGCACGAAACTGCCGAGCTGAGGCGCGAGACGCTGTGACGCGGGCGACAAGGCCTTCCAGAAGATGTCTCGGAGTACGAGACTGCAGTTCAGGATGTAGACTCGGACGAGTGAACAACGACCGCGGCTTGTATCACTATATATCTCCGAGTGTAATATGATCATGATGCCAGATTCCTCTTGTAAAGCAAATGATCAATAAATTCCTGCAACTGTAGTGAAGCTCGCAGCAACCGCCTAGGCTAGTGGGGCAGCAGCAGCTAAATAGAGCTCGAAATTTATAGCTTTCACGCCGATACATCTGCCCACGTTTGAGCAAAAATCAACCATACAGAACTCAAGATCCTGCTCACCGCATTCAACAACTCTCAAGATGCCTTCGACTACGTCGGAAGAGTCGTTTCAGTCCGCAGAATCGCTTAGGTCTAGCGAGTTTGCGGCGTCGGTCAAGACTGCGGCGTCGGCCCAGTCTGCGGCTTCATTCAAGTCTGCGGTGTCGGCTATCTCTACGGTATCCAGGACTTCTACCGTCGTCCATACTGCGACCTTCAAGGATGCAGTCAAGTTCGCAGAGGAGTTCCACAGCTTGTCCCGGGATGTAGGTTTGCTCTATTTGCGCTTGAACAATCCATACTGACAGTGCGCAGCTCGATCAAGCCCGCGCCACTCAGACCAGCGTCGAGAAACTGACCGAAGTCGACAACTTTCGCATTGTAGACTGGGCCGCTCTGGAAGAGACCTGGGCGCTCGACCACAACGATGTCCACAAGAAGCTCGAAGGCGAGATCGAGGCGAAGATCCCAGCCTTTGAAGCAGCCAAAGAGGGGCTTGAGTCTGCGCTTGCGTAATTAAAGGCCCACACTGCCGTTTTGCAGCTCTTGAGGACGTATTGGGATTTGCGCTGACAGCTTGTAGTCTTCTCGACGAGGTCGAGCGACGCGCTTGGTGGAAGCAGTGCCAGCTCAAGTACTCCTCCATGACTGGCTTCTTCGCCTACACCCCGGCCAATATTGAGGAACTCAACGAAGAAGAAGTGGCCATCGAGGATGATGCCGAGGTCAACAGCGACGCACAGGAATTTGCCCGCCGGAGGCCCAGCTTCGAGAACTTCGACCCTTGGTGGGTAGATGAGAACGACAAGGAGGGCCGAGAGATCGCCGAGGTGTACAGTCGAGAACAACGCAAGGATGCGATAGCCAAGTGGGCTGCCAGGACATCCTGAACAAGTACATTAAAGTCTCGAAAAGTGGTAATATTAAGATGAAGCCAGAAGCCGTCGATGAACTGTTTGCCCTTTGACCGTTCTTCCATAGCGCTATCTGATCATACGGATATACATGGAGGCCAAAATGAATCTATCGTAACCCTCCTTCTGTTTCCCTACTTGTCCTGACCCTGGCCTGAGACCCGGCAATATCACTGTGTCTCGTGCGATCTCGCATCGTGCTTCGTGCTTCCCATTGGCGCGCTATGGACGTCATAGATGCATGTCGAAATATGTAACTACGTCTTGCGGGTTCTCGGTGTGGCTGAGATGAGGAGGGAAGTGGTGGTTTCATCGGCGTATTCGGCTTTTCGAAAGTGTGTGGGAGATGACCATGTCGATTTCCGAAATGGCTCGAAATGCGACATTGTGCCCTGGTGCTCTTGAATGATTCGTTTGACAGCTAGTTCAGACCTTAGCAAAAAAACTAGACGACGAGGAAAAATCCTTACTTTTGCAATTGCGTGCATCCGATGATTGCGGCAGATGTGGGCTATGAACGAGCGGCGATGCGTGCGGAGGAATGCGCAGCGCTGCGGGGATCTCGTCACACTTCAGACGATCGGCATTTTAGTCGTGACGATCCGTCAACCACGACATCTCCACCACCATTCTTACAACACCCCTTATCTTGGCTTCGGTATCGTGAGCGTGAGTGAGTTCGAGCCAAAGTACTGGTGCGAAGTCCTTTGTAATGGCGCCGATGCGCGGGTCGTGTTTGGAGTGGATCATATCGGAGAGAATGTTTGCTGATTTGATAAAAGATCACCAAACATTGAGACGCTTGTTCATGGTAATCGATGTTCGTGTTGGATTATGCGGGGGCTCTTAGCACCTGTTGATATAGGTACAAGTAAGCAGCCGACCCGTCTTCAAGGGGGTCCTCCTCTCGGCTGTACTCGTAGGCTTACTGACAGATGTTGCGGTGCAAGTCGGTCCGACAGGCCTCGATCGTCACCTCAGTTGACTACCTTGGACTAGCACGTCTCAGGGCATGTATATATGGTCGCCTCCTAGCTAGCAATCAACTCAGCGCAGTTTTCCATCGATATACAGCGGCTACGTTTGCCGCAACAACAGACAGCACCTTACAGGACGCGCCCCTCACCAAAATCAGTGCTGCTCAGCACACAGGCGTCTGCAACTACAATGGGTGGCTATGAGGCTGAATCACGAAAAGTACTGTCTGCCCTTCAGCCCAGGAGCAAAATTACCATGGTGGTCGTCGGTACTGCCAGTGGGCACTGGACCCAAGAATCCGCCAGCGAAAAGATACCCGCTGTACGGGAAGACTCGACTCTGCGCGCAAGCAATAGTGGTTGAGGGGGGATAGTAGAGGCCAGTCCGGGCCGAATTGGATACCAGTGGGATCGAAAACCCACCAGCTGTTGTCGCTCAGCTTGATGGCGAACGCGCAGTGCTGAAACTCGTGGTAGAGAGTTGTTGCGAACTTGAACTCCCGGATCTCGAGAATTGGTCCTCCGCGTGCTGGAGTATCTGTTAGTGACCATGCAAGCTCATCACTTCAAACACGTACCACTACCCCAGTCTTGCTGCCACTGCAAGCTCAGCAACCAAGGACCGACGTTGCTCAGACTCCTCTCGCATTGCGAGTAGAAGACGTTCACCATCTCCCACCACCAGGCTTCTGCCCCGCCAAGGCTGCTCACGGGTGCCCAGGCCCTGTTCAGGTTCTGCTGACACCAGAGCTTGTAGCGATCCTGGAGGCAGCAGAGGACATGAATGAGAAATGAGAATTCTGCATCGTCTGGTCGATAGGCAATGCAGAAATGACCGCCACAGAGAGTACCGCCGAGGAACTGGTGAATATGTGCGCAGACGCGGCAGCGGGGACCGGCCGCAATGGATACAAGGGCGTGGGTGGGTCGGAATCTCAGTGTCCGGTAGCGGGAAATTTCGTGTACCTCGCGATACTGCATTGAGTGATTGTGAGTTGATAGTATCTTGGTGTTGTGCGGCGGCAGTTTCGAGCTCGACGACAGCTCTGAAAAGCGCCAAGGCGGCAGCAAGTTGACCCCTGCAGGGCCTGCACTGCCATTCCTACCGTATGAACAGCTACACAGAGGCCGATGATAAACTTAGGATACCTATGCGAGTCCACCATGGAGCCGACATTTTTCCATGCTTGACTAGGCGGGCCCTTGAGGTCGATATTCCCGACTACGGTACTGCGGCCCCGCGTTGATACACCGAGATACCTTCTTCACACACGACAGCAACAAAATGTGTCTCAAGGACTTACATACACACAACTTAGGAGGCTTTCAAGCAGATAACAGGATCACCCTCGCAGAGCAATCTTGCCCGTTCTGAATCGCAAATAGGCCCCCGGCGCCGTGGTTCAAGATATACGCCCACATCCGCTTCCCGTACAACCATATCTTCTTATCCTTGACATATTTACGAACTTAGAAGAACATTCGTATGGCATCATCGAACAGAGTACCATACGTCTGGCCCGAGCAACGATGTGGTGGGGCTCTGGCGCGCTTGTCTTGAGCAAGCAGGCGACGCACGATCGAGATAGAAACAGCCAAAGAGGGCGAGAAGGGCAAACATAAACTAAGATTGTATGAGAAACAAAGAGAAAAGAGACCCCGAACGCATGCGGCGCGAAGAGAAGAGTGTGAAGGCTTTGCGCTCAACGGTGCAAGACAGCCATTGAGCGCGAACGGTCGCAAGTGCTGTGCGCAACGCAAGAGGGAGTCAGGGGTGTCTGTGCTTATAGTTTAAACACCATTCGAGGGGGAAACAGTCATTTCTTCAAGAGGGAAACGAAGGGGTTGGGTGTGACGGAGATGAGAAGACTGGGTCTCGGGCGTCGACAGTAGTGTTACAGATCAACAGAAGGACAGGGAAAGGCGAGATGGGGGTATGACTCTGCAAGATCAGAAGAAGAGCTGAGCGAAGACGTCGCACTTCCCTGCCACCCATTATCATGCTGAACCCAGCTCGGGGTCTGACACCGACGCACCATGCACCTCACAGAGACAGTGCGGTGACCACTGTCAGAGCCGACATTGGCTTTCTAGCATAGTGTACAACTTCTGGAAGGCAGGGTGTTCCTTTCAGCTCCGGGAAACGACGCTGGTAATGTGTGACGACGCAGCAGAGATGTAGACTGAGGGCTGACTGGGCAAAACAGACAAAGAACCTACCACACTCGATTCGAACGAAGTCTTGCTGTCAAGCCTTGACTACTCTCTGCTCGAAAGCCTAACCATGCACCTTTCCTTCCTACGACCGTACCGTCAACATTTCGATCCAGCATCACCTCCAAACCACACGCCCTCGTTTCGCCACCCAGCGCATCACAACGCAGACGTAAACGGTGCAGATCCGACGTAGACAAGCCCCTGACTCACAGCCACATTGCTTCCAAGTCCCGCTCGGGGATAGGAAAGTGCGGTACTTCGGCGAATACCCCTGATTGCTAGGGATCCATACAGGACTTGGCGTGGAGTTGGACACTTTTCTGTCTACTGAGGTGGCTGTGGGTTGAGAGCTCAATTACGCGAACCTGCAGACTTGAAGGAATCTCGACAAGGTCTTGAAAGGCGGACGTTGGAGGGGAAGGTACACAGGCGGACGTTGAGAGAGAAGATACACAAGAGCATACAGAAAGTACGAGAGGGTGGAAGAGTGCAAAAGATGGCAGGACAGCTTGGGCAAGATTCTTGGGGGTACGCAGAGATACAAAGCAAGCCATAGGCAGCTGGACGGGAGTGATGAATGATGGAGCGAAGGAAAAAAACAACCGTACTGAGTGACGTTTCAGGAGATGCTAGTGAGAAGGAAATAAGACTTGGGAGAGTGCTAGTAAGGCGGCGGGATCATGGATAACGATGGAGAAAGCTCTCGTGATACCAGTGATCATGCAGGGGAAGGAGCGAAAACACGGTTGTTGAATGTCGATGCAGGTGTGACGTCTACGTGTCAATAACGGAAGGAGCACATCATCGTCACGGGCAGGCAGCCCCAAGAAACGAGCTGAAGTCCTGCATGTATGTGGAATCCAATATCGTGATACATAGATCAACAAGGCTCCACAGTCGCTCGTCATCCAGCATGCGCTATTGATGTCGAAGTTCAATCCGCCTACGGCGGTGTGTAAGCCAGTTCATCTGTTCGGCGGCTGCAGTCGTGCAGCGGCTGCCTCAATTGACAAATTCGTTGTCGTTCCCGTCCCTCAAGATGCTGCTGCATCTGCAACACATTGGCTGCCTTCCTGGCGCCCTGCATCATCTTCTGCTGCGTAGGCTTACAGTTTGCTGCAAGTTTGCCGCCTCCGCCGAACTTGACAATCTCAAGACGTTCGAAGCTCCGATCGCCGCTCTCCGGAGGCCCAATCAATACATCCATAAAGGCGAGAAGCGCGTGATCATCGGTGGCATTGCTCGATGTGATCCTCAGGCTCGTCAACCATGGCTGCAGATCTGAGGGTCGCGGGAGCAAAGCTCGATGGTCACAGGAGCAGGATGACGCGTCAACTGCACAATGACTGCTCCCACGATCTTGTCACGGCCACCACAACAAACTGCCTTGGATTTGTCTCGAGGTCATATTCATAAGCCTCTGGCCGGAAGAGGCCATGTTTGAGCCTCGTGCTCTCCACTCCCGAAGTCACAGAAGACGATCGTGATAAGCGCACTATCTTCGTTCAGCAGATCTCCCAGCGTGCGGAGACATGCCATCTCCGATCATTCTCTGGTACTTGATCGCAAAATCAAAGGCGACGAGATAGCTCCCGTTCGCAGCATCACTTCGCCCAACAACCAGGTTTTCGAAATAGCCCATGCTTGGGCCATGGCCGGGGCTGCGATAGTCTTAGGGAAGATCTGGTGTCCAGCCGCGATTACCGTGTACGCGAGTGCGAGGATACGTACGCTCATCGTGAGAGGCGCAACGACCGTAGTGGAGATGGGCAGGAAGACGGCGAGCGAATGGCGAGAGAACTCGGTGTCGTTAAGTACGTCGAGTGCTCAGCTCTGAAACAGACGGGGTGTGACATCGGAAAAGCTTTGTCCAGTCATCAGCGTGCGCACCGCCTAACCTAGAGGCGGTATTGTGTCGGTCTGTCGTTCTGTATGAGTGCGTCGGTCGAGAAGGCCGAGAATGTCTCGGACAATGCCAACTCGTTCCCGAAGGGCTGCCATGTACGTGTTTTCGACTGTACTCTTCTTCAGATGCTGACACCTTGTGGGTTCCGGCCGATATGCCAAGAGAGAAGTCTAGCGGCGAGAAGGTGCGGATTAGCATGGTCGTCATCCGCAGAAACGCCGTTTTTACGCTCGAAGCCCTCGACCGCATCAGTGTGGACGGACCGGGTATAGCACTGAGTTGGCGGTGGAATGTGTGAACTGATGAGCGAGACTCGTGACAAACCTGCTATCAAGTTGTGCGAGTGTTGGTCCACTTCGGAGTCTGAAACGATCTTGGTCAAAAAGGCTTATGTACGGTGGTGAGATCAATGGGCTAGGATAATCCCTGCTCAGATAGCGAATTGGTATGTTGACATCGCTCTTGAGATTGTATATGCACTGACAGAAGCCCAGAAATGATAATACCCGTGACTGGTCGTACACATTGACAGTGCACTGTGAATGAAGAGCAGCATCGTCTATGATGTGTGTGGGGTATGGGGTGTGATGAAAATCGAGGGCAAGGTCTGTAACTGCGTGAGCAGTGTCAGTCGGAGACTGTGATCAAAGATTATATTGCTATTTGTTGTCGTGTTGTGTGATGTTCTGCTCCAGGAGCTCTCAGCTCTAAAGTAAGTGCACTTGCCCACCGGGCAGTGCTTGCTACAATAGGATGTCATGTGATCTGAGCCACGTGGTTACAAGGTCATATCAAGAAAGTGCAAGGAAACATACCAGAGCCGGGTCGATGACAAGTGATCTCGAGAGTGAGAGCTTCTGGGTGAGTGGGTGAATCTGATTTGGGCAATCGCAGTCTCGACGTTCAGCTGTCTGCGGTGAGTTTAGGTCACGGGCAAGCTTTCTCGATCGACAGCCTCATCGTGGCCGTGTGGATCTAGGTAATGACTAAGGCCTTGAGAGTATTGATGTGAAGTTGGAACCCGACGCTACATCGAGAATTGGTTGTTAATTTGGAGCTTGATCGTGGTCCGGGGTGAAAGCGCGGAGATTCGAGAGCGAGGCTGCCATCCTCCAACTTCGTGTTTGCTATCATCGCCTGGCTTGGAGCTCGAAAAAATATTTGGGCTCGAGGGTCATGGGTGAAGGGCCGTGGGGTGGCTTGCCAATACGCTTCATACCGGCATGAAAGTTGTTGTGGGAGGAACGTGTGAAAGTGGGAGAGGGGTATGGGTGGTTGAGGCTGAACGCGAAAGCATGTGGTTTCGCGAGGTGGCGGGCCTAAGCGCAATTGAAGCCCACCCTTGCCTTCTCCACAACACCATGCACCATCCTGGCGCACAGGTCGTGCCTACCCAATCGAAAGCTGGCTCTCCGGCGGCAGGCCCAGTTGCTGCAGATGGCCGGGAAGGAGTACACAATCGTTGTGCTCTCGTCCTCCCCACCCGCCCCCGATGTGTTCAATTCCCCGCGTTATGCAGCGCCCGCAAGACGCGTCGCAATGCCCCCATCCTCGCCATTCGCCCTCTTTCCGCCCTCTAGCCCAAGGGAACATACTGTCGGCGCGTTGACATCCGGCTCTCAAGCGGCCCCGGTCCCTGGGGATGCTACAAGAGGGCTCGCCACCGTGTGCAGCCTCGTTCGTTCGGAGCACTTCGCACAGCAGCTCGACGACGATTTCACTGAGATACCCCAAGCACAGTCGAAGAGAGGAGACGCAGAAGTCACGGCGAAAGGCGCTGCACCTGCGAAGAAGCCCAGGAAACGAGCTGCGAAGAATGAGACATCTACAGAAGGCGAGAAGCCGCAGCCAAGGGGGCGGAAAGTTAAGGCAGACAAAGAGCTTGAGAACACCAACACCCTCGAACTCAAACTCCGACTTCCTCCCGCCAGGCGATCGCCATTCTTCGATAACGCAGAAGCGCAACCAATAGCCAAACCCCCTACCGAGCCAGCGGCAGATGCGCCACCAAAGCTGACGAAATTGGGCAAACCACGAAAACCGCGAACGAGGAAGGAGAAGATCGATGATGGTGTCATGGAGCCCAAGCCAAGGAAGGCGAGGGTCACGAAACCTAAGGCGGCCGCTAAAGCTGGCAAAGCATCGCGGGAAACTGCAGATGTTGTGTCTACCCACTTGTCCATTGACAAGGATCAGGCCAGCACCACAATCGCGGTGGCGAGCGATGTAGATGCACAGGCTGCATCAATCTGGGACATGCCACAAAGTCCCCAAGCGACGCATCTAGTCACGGGGGGGCTTGACCTCGATGAGGCAGTCTCGCGACGACGAGACCGGACACCACCGAGGGACACAGCTGCACAGAGCCCTTCAACTGTATCTACTGACGAAGAGAACCTACCTATGATTCGCGATGCTACCAATTGTACCTTCACTAATCTCATCAACAACTTCACGTACGAGTCGCCGACCGCCAAAGTCGCCAGCAACACCGCAACGGCGAAAGGAGTCGTGGGTGTGACAAAGCGCCACCGAGTCGAGCTGGTCGAACTTCCGGGCATTCAAACCAAATCACGAGCATCGTCTCCGGAAAAGGGCAAAGCGCCAAAGAAGAAGCCTCGGACCATTACAGACCTGGTGACAGGTCAATACGCACCGAAAGACGCAACTGTAAATGCGCAAGCAATCACGAGTGACTTCTTCTCACCTCGCACGAGTACAGCAAAGGTACCGCTGAACGATATTGCGCCTGGCGACGAGACGCCAAAGAAGAAAGCTTCTCGTAAGCGCTCGAAGTCAAGGGAGGGCTCGGAAGGTGCAACGTCAAAGGCGAAACCTCGGGCGAGGAAAGCATCGTCCAAGCTCGCTGCTAAGCTGAAGCCAGTCGCGGAGAAGCTGCTCAGCCCGACGTCTGCTGTCATGCGTATGAATCGACAAGAGGTGTTGTTTGGCACCTCAAGCCAGCTAGCACTGGAAGAGTCGCCTACGACCGTACGACAGATTCAACGAGCTCTCACAGAGTCGGAGCTGGAAGTTGCAGATACACCGTATCATCAACTACAAACTCCTCCACGATGGCCGAGATTACAGCGGACAGAAGGCAAACGAGGCCTGTGGCGAGAGAGTACCAGAGACAGCGACGGCGGCCTGCTCGAGAATGCGGAGAATGTGTACATACCGGAGCCGGACAGGACACAGAATTTGCCTTTACTCATGGACATCGCTCAGGGTGAGGCAACTCTGCCATCTGGATTTGTAGACATCGATGACTTTGAGTCTGCCATTGGGTCTGCTGCCCTTCTTGCAATCTCGTCAGACCTACCAACCCCTTCAGAGTCCCAGTCACAAAATTATTTCGTAGAGCCCGCATCTACAAGACCGGCACCCGATGAGGTCTTCGAGGACATCGATGATTTTGAGAAAGGTCTTCCTCCATCCAACCAGAACGTCGAGTCTCAAGCCAGCTTTGCAGATATCGACGACTTCCAATCCGCTACTCCAACAGCAGAACACCAACCTCTTTCAGAGACATCCAGACCACATGCATCAACGCCAGCGCTAGCGCCAGCTCTGGTCACAGGCTCGCCTAAGAAACGTCGAGGGAGACCACCAAAGGCAAAGAGTGCAATTCCCATCGTGCCGGTATCGGCATCGCCTCTACCACATAGAAAAGCCTCACCACAGCAGGCACCACTCGAGGGATCAGGTCGGTTCATTGACGTTGAAGAGATTCTTGACTCGGAAGACGAGGCGCTCGAAATCTTCTCGCCTACACCACCGCGCATGCGCAAGCTACAAGATTCGCCTCCTTTGCTCCTAGCTTTTGACCAAGAGCTTTCAACCCCTGCTAAGGTCATGTCAGACGGCGATTGCCAAATTTCGATCTCCCACGTTCTCGCTTCTCAGCTCGAGTGGGCGAACATCAAATGGCCATTATACTCGGCCATCACTGCACACATACGCTCCATACCACCGACAACGGACCCCAAGAAACCCAGCTGGCACGAGAAAATCCTCATGTATAACCCTATCATTCTCGAAGACTTCACGATCTATCTCAACAGCAACACCAAGCTTCGCACGTACAAGCGAGCAACGCAGAAGCAAATTAAAGCTTACAACAAATGGCTGAAGCTGAAGGGTAATGCCATCCTTGACGTGGAAATAGATGATCATGTGCTAGCTATCGAGAAGGAGCTGGAGGTCTACATGGTCAGAGACTGGTGCGAGGCAATGAGCATTTGCTGCATTCATGCGAAGGAGAGTCGGGGCAGAGGAAGTGCGCGAAAGGGATTCTACTAGTTCTCAGCAGGACGAGTAGAGCGCAGGATGAGGAAGAAGATACCCAGTAGCCGCGGATGCCAGGCCGCACCTGACGTAGCTACACAGAAAATGGACACGGCAACCTCAGCCGCGGCTCGCTTTCCCTGTCAACCCGCCCGTGCGAGTTTCGCTGCTCCGCTCTCAGGGCTCGCGGCTCACCAACACCAAGCATGGCGCTCCAGCATCGTAGACAATGTCCTTCATCGGCCGCACAACAACCCTCGTACATGCCAAGATGCGAGATATGTCAACAAACAGGCCTGTCACCCGGCTAGTAGACCGTCTTATACCTAATCACGACTCCAACCTCCACATGATGGTGTGTACTGGTCTATATGCTATCCTCTTTTGTGCATTGGGCCGCTCGGCAGTTTTTTTTTTCGCGCGAAAAGTGCCGAGTGTCCGGGTAAAAATCGGGGAATGAACGATGCGTACACCCGGCAGCGGAGCTGAGCACTGTCCAGGTGGTATGCACCCCGGGATTGGCCCCCTACTTCACGAACCCCACGATCCCCACACTTTAACACCTTGGCATCGGTAATGGCATCTGAGCAAGCTCTGGGGGATACCGCGGCTTGGCGAGACGCCATCGCGAAAGTGACCCTCCGCTATGGCTGTTCTTCGGATGTGGTTTGCGGCCTGACGATGCCGATTCGTGCTGTGCAAGCAGAGGTGTAAGTACAAATAGTAGGCGGGCTCCTGTGTTGCAAAGGTATCGCAGGATACTTTGCGCCACTACTCGATCAAGATGGTCTACCGAAGCACTCGTTCTGACCGCAAGAAGCAGGCCTTTATTGGCTTGCTATTCGCCGCCACAGCCATGGCTAAGGCTGTGCCTGCTAGGTCCTTCCAGCACAATGCTTTCACACGACGAAGCAATACCGAGATGCTGCCATACCGCGATGCATCGCTCTCGGTGGACGAGCGCGTTGACGATCTGATCCAACGCATGACCTTGGAAGAGAAGGCCGGACAGCTCTTCCAGAATGCCTTGAACCTCCCAGCCAATGGCAGTAGCACACTTGTTAATACCACCGTACTTGCAATTGAGGGTAACTTTCAAACGCACTTCAACCTTGCCGGAGCTGTCGACAGCCCGCGTGTCGCAGCCCTGTGGCACAACAACGTTCAGCAATCTGCCTTGAATACACGTCTCGGCATACCCGTTACCATGTCTTCGGATCCTCGGAACTCCTACATAGATGCTGTTGGATCGCAGATCGCCGCTACCGCTTTCTCGCAGTGGCCTGGGAGTCTTGGTCTTGCGGCACTGAGGGACGCAAGCCTGGTCAAGAAATTCGCAAACATCGTTCGTCAAGAGTACCTGGCTATTGGTCTCCGATCAGCACTTCATCCACAGGTTGATCTTTCGACTGAACCTCGCTGGGCAAGGATTGGAGGAACAATGGGCGAAGACGCCAACCTTACAGCTGAGCTTGTTGTTGCGTACATCCAAGGCTTCACCGGGGATGAGTTCGGCAACCAGTCCGTCACCACCGTGACGAAGCACTTTCCCGGCAGCGGCCCGGTCGAGGATGGCGAGGACAGCCACTTCACGTATGGCAAGAACGCCACCTACCCCGGCAACAACTTCGAGCACCATCTCATCCCCTTCAAGGCCGCCATAAAGGCCGGCGCCCGCCAGATCATGCCTTACTACTCCCGTCCTATGGGCACCAAGTATGAGGAAGTCGCTTCTGGCATGAACAAGGGCATCGTCACCGACCTTCTTCGTAACGAGCTCGGCTTTGACGGCATCGTAGTCACCGATTGGGGTCTCGTCACCGACGGCGTGATCCGTGGACAAGACATGCCAGCGCGCGCTTGGGGCGCCGAGAACCTGACCGAGATCCAGCGCGCTGAAAAGATTCTGAATGCAGGCGCCGATCAGTTCGGCGGAGAAAAGCGCGTTGACCTCATCCTCCAACTCGTCGGCAACAACACTATCACCGAGGACCGTATCGACATATCTGTGCGTCGCTTGCTGCGCGAGAAGTTTCTCCTCGGTCTCTTTGAGAACCCCTTCGTTGACGTCGACGCAGCGGATAAGCTCGTCAACACACCAGAGTTCAACGCTGCTGCTCAAGATGCGCAGCGCAAGTCCTTCACCCTCCTGACTAACAACGCCACCGTCCTGCCGCTCAAGCACGATAAGCGAGTCAAGTTCTACACTGAGGGTCTTAACACTACCCTCCTTGCTCAGCGCAAAGTCACCGTCGTTGCTACTCCCGAGGAGGCTGATATCGCCCTCATCCGTCTTCAGGCACCCTACGAGCCGCGCCCCGGCGGTTTCGAAAAGAGCTATCACGCCGGGAGCCTCGAGTACAATGTCACCGAGCGCGCGCGCCAGGCCGCCATTTACTCTACCGTGCCCACTATTGTCGACATCTTCCTTGATCGTCCTGCGGCTATCCCCGAGATCGCGGAGCAGGCGAAGGCCCTCATGGCTAACTATGGTGCCTCGGGTGAGGCATTCTTGGATGTCGTTTTTGGTGCTGATGGGTATAAGCCGCAGGGGAAATTGCCGTTTGATCTACCCAGGAGCATGGAGGCGGTTGAGGCGAGTAATGGGGATGTCCCCTTCGATACTGTGAACCCCGTGTTCAGGTTTGGACATGGATTGAGCTACGAGGACTGTTAGATGTGAAAGGAACAGCTCTGCATGGATATTCAACGATTATCAGTAACGACATAATGATACATTTTGAGAGCCGCGAATCGACCTCATCACCGCGAACATCGACACTGCACATTGATCTCTCGTGCGAGGACTATGTCTGAAGAGGGCGAAAAGCGCTGTAGCTACTCAGTGCTGCATAACATTCAATCTGTTCAGCTATTCGAACTACTTCCAGGGCCTTCGAACTTGCCACTGCGCTGTCGGTTGGTCGAAAACGCGCCAGGGCACATGGAACACCGTAGTGGTTTCCAGGTACCTGTCAGTTGGATAGCAAGGCAATGAAGGTATTATCTCGACAACACAAAACCTGCACGACGCTCTCCACGTTCTTCGTTACGAATCCACAATACGCGTTCTTCGGGTAGATGCGATGCGGTCTGCACTAATCAGAGTGATTTTGCAGAAAAGAGTCATCAGATCCAATACATTGGTCCGTGGTTCGGACATGCAACTAAGGTCATCGTCTGGCGGGCGCTGATTCAAGCGACAGTGTTCAGACGGTCAACGCACTGGATTACTTTGCCCCAAGATGCACCCCGGCAAACTGAATATGGGATCGAGAAGATCCTCGAGACGTACGAACGCGATCTTCACAAGCACTTGAAGAAGAATTTTGTGACATTGCCATGGTAAGACTCGCTAGGCTTTTACGTACTTGGAGAACCTGACGTTGTCATCCAGATTTCATAGAGTATGGGCGGTGCAGAAGTTCGTCTTGGCACAAGAGGTACAGTTTCAGCTAGATCGCACTACCCTGGACCAGGTACTGTCTACAACATCCTCCAAGCGTTCGATGCTTACTTTACACGCCAACTGGAATCCACCAGTCTCACGGAGACGGCCTCTATCGATCACAGCTTCTATCTTGCCGAGTCGACCAAAGGCCTTCTCCAGTTCCGAGCCAAGTCGTTATTTGTAACTGCGTGAGCAGTGTCGGTTGGAGACTGTGATCAACGAATGTATTGCTATCTGTTGTCGTGTTGTGATGTTCGTGATGTACAAGCTTTCAGCTCTGGGGTAAGTGCACTTGCCCACCGAGCAGTACCTGCTACAATAGGACATCATGTGATCTGAGCCACGTGGTTACATTATTCCTTAACAGATCTGAAGTTTTGCTCACGGCATGCGTTTTAGGTCTTAGTCGCCAACGATATTGTTCGAGAGTACACGATCGCGTGTACGTAATGCTTGGGTTGTCGTACGATCTTGTCATTCCAGTTGACTGTGCACTACCACCCTAAAAAGTCTGGAACGATTTCTTTATTCAAAGTCTCAACAGTGGCGGCTTAGCCGCGCTGCAGGCTTGTAGCCTCAACAGCATCAAGCATGGATAGTGGGTCTTTGTCCCTCCATTTTCAAATTTTAACGAAAGCTGGTGTCTTCCTGTCAAGTCCACACGTTATTGAGTCACCCTATGCAGCCGGCAAGCTGTTTCCAGCAGATTTCCTCGCTGATGCAGAGTCCACTATTACCATCAAAGGCATATCGGTCGATGAGGTCGTGGACCACACCGTGTGCTCTGTGTTGGAGAATGTGTCTGTATTTCCGGAGTACGTCGACGTCTGACACGAATCAGTCCTGGCGGAGGTTTATCAGGACGTCCTGCACTGTCTCCAGAGTCATTATCGGATGGAAGATACTCCCCCCGTCCTCGGTCTCGGCCAATTCGAGTCTCCATTAGGGCATGAGACTGTATTTAGAATGAGTTGCATGTTTCTGCTCATTTTCCGGGCTGGGTTTGGCGCTGCGAACTATGCAGTAAAGCCGAATTAAAAAGTGCGAGAATCTGGACCACGGTAACAGGATGGAGAGTATTCAGAACGGCACCAAATGATACATTGCGTTGACCATGTCAGAACTGGTATCGCTCTTGTTGGTCCGGTAGGTTGATCAGTTTTTGCCGCGATATCTGAGGTCAAGCAGATGCCACGCCTGGTATGATCGCAAAGGACACATCGTTCGATGGAAACCCAACATCACAATCCATCACCGACCATATGTCATCCAATGAAAACTCGTTTTCTCACAAAGCTGGTGCGAGAGCATTGTTGGTGGAGTCGGAAGTTGAGATAGGCGCACCCGGCGACCCAGAACGGGTCCCTGGCTGCGGCACATTGCTTGTCGCGGGAAGCACATTCTCGTTGTTGACGACCGTTGCAGCACCTAGCGCCATCTCTGGTCGCAGTGCCTGGATACGAGTGACCATCTGCTCGACCGCGGCACTGGCGCTCCGTGTAGTTTCATGAGACCCCAGTTGGCGTAGGAGTCGCAGCCCGGTGCAAAGCACCTCAAATCAATTACTGGGGAATTGATTGTCATGATGGACCGCAGCTAGCGCAAGCACCAGACATGCGCTTTCCAAGTAGAAGCCGTGCGAATACAAACCCTGTAGTCGTCAGTACAATGCATTACGACTGACCTGAGGCAGTCCACACCTCAATTCCGATCTGCAACGAGAACAAAGAGTCGCAAAAGTGAATAATCTCTTTCGCAGCAGTGATAGATTGGTTGGCAGCCTCGAACAGCACCGCCATCACAACCCCACCATTGCGCTCTGAGAGGATGTCCTTGATACCGCGACGACTCAGTTCTAGGCACAGTAGTACGAAGGGCCTGAACAGAAGCAGTTTGGTGATGTAGAATGCTGTGGGCGCGTTAGGCGAGTAACATTGGCTGTCTTCGGTTTACATACTGTATGAAAAAACGATCTGCCACACTAGATCGTCTCCCGACAAAGTATACAGCTGGCCTCCGATTCTGGGCCGAGTGTGTTCTTGAAGCGACTTTGAGAAGTCGCAAAGCTGCTTATGGACAATTGTAACTGCGGTCAAATCTGCTACGACGGTGTCATCAAGACTGTATATCTGATACGCGGCACGCACGATGGTGCACAGTCGAACGAAGCAAGCAACGTAAGACGAGTCGTGCGTGACCGGGGGTGAGATTTCCTTGTCCCCCAAGCTTGGTCGCTTGCCCAATACAAAACATATCAAGCTCTCGTTGCAGAACAAAGTCCACATAGTCTGTTTCGACAGGTGGCAGTCGCCACGGTGCAGTCCGGCAGCGAACGCTTTGCGAATAGCGCCTCCGAGATGCAGATAGCAGATATTTGGGCTGCCAGCTTCGAACTCGAGTTGCGCCAGCATAAGTGTCGCATGAACCGCCTCCGTATTGATGTCGTACATGATGGTCGTCACTTCGGCACGAGCTTGTGTGATGAAGAGTTGTCTACAAGGCCAGTGAGCGGGAATGCGCCCAGGCCTAATGCAGCAACAACGATCGCTCTGTCAGCGGTGGAGATGACGGTGCCTTCCCCTCGGCCAAACAGCTTCTCAAAATTGTCGCAGAGAACATTCTGGTCCAGAAAGGGCAATCGGGGGCAAGCGGTCACCAGGAAGTTGCGCAACGCGATCTTTGCGGAAGCATAGCTGATTTCATCGAAGCCGTTAACATATGTGACAGGATCAGGCAAGTTATCAAAGACAATGGGCTGATAGTTCTAACTCTTGATGCTCCGATCACCGTTTTGGACTTCTTCGCCATCAGGACTAGGGTACACAGCAGGAGTTCCTTGCATCGGAAGGTGAGCATCGAGGTGCTGCAGGACAGAGAATGGCGATGATGCCCCATAGAACAACTCAGTCCTTCCCCGTGATGTATTCTGTGTGGCTCGAATGTTGTTGAAGATTGCCAGACGAGGCGGCATTGAGCGAGGAAGACCATCTAGAGCTGGACCGCGGTCTCCAGTACTAGGAGCAATAACGGCACCTCGTATTCCATGGTCACATGGTTCATCAGTGTTATGTGTTACCTGAGCATCTCGATTCGTCAAAGACGCACGCCCCACCCGTTGTCGAATGTACGATCGGTACGAGCATCGGCTGTTCCGCCTAGTGCACACACTGCACGGCGTTCTTCCGTCACACTTCTGTTTGCGACGGTGACATTCTGCAGCTTGTTACTTCTCCTCTAGATAGTTGCAATATCTTACAAAGGTACCTTCGCAAGCTTTCGGGTTCTTCGAGATTCTGCCTGATGTTACTGGAGGAGTCAGCCGGTACAGGCATGGAAAAACACTTCGCCAGTAGAATGAAAGAGGTTGCGCACTCACCGGAGCCTGCGTTGCGGGTGCTGCCGTTCGGTGTCGCAGGAGTCGACATGGGGGTGTAAATTCTCCGTTCGGATGAGACGGAAGAAGGGCTAAACCCGACAAGCAGCTACGTACCTAGTTTAACGCGAGTACGGGTTCACTGTTTCTGATCGTCCGAATATGTCAACATTTTAAGCAGTAACGAAGGAGTAAGCGTACGTGGTGATCAAAGTCAGTGGCTCCGATTTGAAACATACACCTGATCAAGAAGTGATGGAGAGGAATTATGACATAAGCAGATCTAACGCGTTGCTTTCGCAATCTGTTCAGGCGTGTACGAAGTATGTTGCGGTATGAAGAGCAAAATGCATATAATGAGTGTATTGTGTTCTGTTGTTCTTGTCGTTGTGTCTATGTTCTCCAAGGCTCGCTGCGGGGTTTGTTTTGATGACGTCTTTGTA